ATTCGTTGCCATTTTTAATTCCACAGACTTTATAGTGTACTTTGGTATATATTTTCGGTAACAGTTTACAATAAGGTTGTCTTAGTTAATGTTAGTTAAAGCATTTATTAACACGAACAAACAATGAATGACGTATTTAATACAGTATACTAATGTGAGTTGATGTTAGTTTATGAAAATCCCGTCATTCATTATTAGTTCATGGTAACTCATGGTGTATTAACTAATGTTAACAGTGTTGCAAGAGCTCATTCAATTACAGCATTCTTTATAAACGGCGGCACATTTGATATCGTTACTCGAGTCATTGTCGTGACCAGCGGTGAAACAGTGATTAAGTGCCACTTACCTCAACTCCCATGCTTATCAATCGATTCACCAAGTTTTCCTCCCTCACAAAAATAGCAACTGACTTATTCATGCGGGATGCAGAGCAAATATTTTCATATCCTATTTGCTCTCCAGCTGCCAACAGTACATCCTCCACGGTCACTTCAGGTTCAGCCATACACCTGACACCATGGAGGAGAGATAGAGATGCCACGCCCTCAGCAGGTGAGGAGGCCATCTCTTCTCTTCTCCGCCACACCAAACTTACAAACAATAACTTTTGACTTACGTCTTCAATCTACTTTACTTCTCCTTATCACTTTAATAAAAGAAAAAAGAAAAAAAGGGGAAAAAATCTGACGCTTTCTCACCGTGTTAACCCTCACACGTACACTCCCAGAATGCACTGAGAGGGAGAAAGAGATAAAGATGTTGACTTTAAAACTTCTTTAATTGGCATTAAAAAATATAAAGAGCAAAGTCCAATTATTACAAAATATAACAAAACAGCAGCCAATCAACAGAAATCACCAATCAAATAATAGCATGTCCTCCTCACAGACTGTGCATAAGGCTTTATTCACACACCGTTTCAATTTAAATTATCAATAAGTAAATGAGTTGATCAAATTTATATACCCATAATAACAAGAAATAACCATTCTGATTAATCCAAATCGATAGATTAGCTTGACAAAATTGGCCATAATACACCTCTATGTTCTTTACGAAGTTTACACCAATAAATAAAAAGTACCTCATCAAAAATAAAACACAAAGTGAGAGAGAGAGAGTGTGATCTTTCATGTTAAGTATTATTCCTGTTCTAAACATAATGGTTATAAAAACAAATCAATCTGTCAACAAATAAATGCAGCTTTTAGTCTGACTTGAACCACAGCAAAAAAATATCAAATAAAAAGACCTTTGACCCTTAAATTCCCTTAATTTTTATAACCATTAACATCCAATAAAATGTTATTCCACAAATCAAAGGTTCCTTATTATTAAAATGTGACAGATTTTGTCAGACATATACACAGTGAAAAATAAATAACCTGTCACTAGGGCTACTCCTTTTCAAAAGGTGATATTTTGTTCCTAAAAGGTCCTTAAAGGTACATAATAATACCTAAATAGTACAAATGTGTACCTCATAGTACTTTAAAAGAACAAAAGTCAACTTTAAAATTACAAAAGTGTACCCTAAAGGTACTAATATATACGGTACAAAAGTGTATACAGTGTATATAGGTACAGTATCACTCTAGTGACAGATTTTGTATGATTTTCATTAAAAGTTTAATTGGGAAACAAACAAACAAAAAAATGGTTATTAAATGTATCACTGCGGGAAACTGTTTTTAGGGGGGTTATTTCTGCCACTTTTATTTGTAAGAGTGAAGGTGAAGTAATAGTTCACTTACAAAGTTAATTGAATATCAAGTGAAATCAAGTATGAATATGAAAAAAGCCCATGTGAGGACAGAGGGCTTCATACCCCTGATATTTACTTTAAAAATTGACAATTGAGCATTTTCATTTGTTATACTGTAATACTAAACCAGGGCTGTGTTTCTTAAAAGCATAGTAAACCTATAGAATCAGGGGTGGCGAACCTGTTTGGCATGATGAGCCAAAAAAAAACTTTATCACTGCAAAGAGCCACACAACAGATGCGCAAACAACAGTATATCTGTCACAATAACTTATACACCTAATTATATAACACAATAGTTTTCATGGATTTAAATTAGCCTACCTCATTTTACTTGACTCAGTGGGACACCTGACATTCCTTGGTTTCCACAATCTTTTTCAGGTCTGGCTTGTATTCAGTTGTGGCTACTCGTAGTAACTCTTTCACATGTGTGTCAGTGAGAACAGAGCGATGCTTTGATTTCACTAGTTTCAGTGTCGAAAAAAGTGATTCACAGACATAAGTTGACCCAAACATTGACAACAGTTTGAGTGCAGCCTGTTTGACATTGGGATATCTCTCAACGGGCACAATCTTCCAAAACTCCACGGTTCCTTCCCTCAGGACACTTTTAAGTCTGTCATCCTCAGAAAGTTCAATCATTTCAAGCTGAGATGCTGCTTCATCTTCCACTAAAGGGGCTTTTAAACAGCCTGATTCAGCAGTGAATGGGTTGATCAAAAATGTTATCTGTTGTCTTTTTTGTCGTAGTTTGGAGAATCTTTCCTCAAAACTTTGCTCAAGATTTTCAAGCAGCGTAGCATACCGTGCAGTACTCCCTTTTACAACCTCTGCTTCTTGTCCACTTGCCTTCAACAAGGTTGGAAAATGTGTGTAGTCTCTCTTTTGTAGATGTGTCTTGAACAGCTTGAGTTTGTTGACAAATGCAAAAACACTTTGCACCAGGTCAGGCAGCATCTTTAACTTCCCTTGCAGATCCACATTCAGTCCATTCAGATAATGCAGCACGTCAACCAAAAAAGCCAAATCTGAAATCCACTGGGGATCATGTAGCTCAGGATATTCCTTATGTTTCTCTGCGAGGAAGAGCTTCACTGGATTTAAAAGCTCAAAGAAACGAGAAAGCACATGTCCTCTTGAAAGCCATCGCACGGCACGGTGAAAAAGCAGATCAGATGGAAGGTCTTCATCAAGTTCATCAATGAGATTTTTGAACTGTCTGTGATTGAGAGCATGTGTGCGTACAAAATTGACAATTTCCAGCACAGGTTTCATAATGTGGTCTAAGTTTAGCTTTTTAGACACCAAGTGCTCTTGATGGATAATACAGTGGAAAGTCCAAAATGCTGGAAAACGGTCGTCAGCTTTACACAGCCCTACAAGACCTCTCTCAGATCCCAGCATGGCTGGAGCTCCGTCCGTGACTATGGCTGTTAGTTTTGATAACTGCAGATTTGCTTTCTCAACAACAGTCTTCAGTGTCTCTTTCAGATCGATGCCACGAGTTCTGTCTTTCAGCGGCACTATGTCAAGCAGCTCTTCCCTAATTGTGCAGTCTTCTGACACAAACCGTACAAATATTGCCAATTGTGGCTTGTCTTGAACATCGCAGGACTCATCCAACGCAATGCTAAAATACTGGCACTTCTGAAGATCTGACAGTAAATGTGTTTCTACTGAATTGTCAATGTCCGATATTCTCTGTTCAACAGTGTGTCGTGACAGTTGAAGGTCCTTTACTGAACGTTTCAAATTTTCGTTTTCGGGACAAAGAATAGCAACAGCATCACTGAGGCACTTTTTAACAAATTCTCCTTCAAGGTATGGCTTTTTTGCACGAGCAATGTTCCATGCTAGCTGATATGATGCTAATGTGACCGTCTCTGAATGCTTAGTAAATTTTCGGAAAAGCTGAGTTTGCTTTTCTGCCTGACCTTTCAGTGTCTTTACCTTGTGCTTGCGAAGTTCACTGCCTTTGGGAAATTCCCGGGCTACGGCAGAATGGAGAGAGGTGAAATGGCGCTCGAGATTTGAAGCCTTAAAATGTGACAACGAAGTCTGGCATATCAAGCAGAATGGCTTTCCATTTCTTTCAACAAAAAAATATAAATCCTCCCATTCAGATAAAAATGTTCTGCGCTCATCTTCGTATTTACGCTTAGCTGTACGCTTTCCTGACTCTGCCATGACGATTGATATTAACGAACTGCACTTCACTCGTGTTGCGCCCCAATCAAACGGGGCTTCAGTGTCAACCCTTGACTGAAGGCGTGTCTGAATGGAAGCGTCAGAAAATAAAATTCAGTCAGCAATAGGCCACTGTCTAGCAGGTGTATTTGCATACAGCGATCTGATTGGCTAACGCGTCCGTAAGCGCTTGAAAAGTTGAGCTACTCCCAGCTTCTGCAGCGAGCAACGCTGAAGCCCCGTGTGAATGGGGCATTAGTCAATTGGTTATTATATGTTAAATCGCGCAAGAGGTTGAGCCGCACAAAAGCAGAAAAAGACGCAGAAGCCCCGTGTGAATGGGGCGTTAGTCAATTGGTTAATGTATGTTAAATCGCGCGAGAGGTTGAGCCGCACAAGAGCAGTAAAAGAGCCGCGAGCCGCTTGTTCGCCACCCCTGCTATAGATCATAAAAAATATACGTCTAAATGACATACTCAAATAAATACAAAAACAAACAATTGACAGACAGACAGATACAGACATCTACAATATGTTCTGTTGGTGTGGAACGGAGTTGGGAAACAACCCCATTTCACATCATTATTGGCTGGTTTAAAGTCATTTAATATTCATTGATTATTAAATTGACTGCACTGACACTGGGGTAGATGCCAAATTGGCTGTAAAATTAGTATTTTTGTTGTTTGTTTGGTAAAACACAATTTTTGGAGAAACATTTGCTATATTTATGTAGTTTGAAGTCTGATGTTTGAGAAAATTAAAGTGGTTACTTTATAAATTATTTCTTGTTTTTGAATTGAACAAACTTAAATTCTTATATATGAATTTGATTGATCTCATTTGTTTTTAACAGTTTTTTTTAGTTTGTTATAAATATTTGATATAAATATAAATATTGAATAAATATTAATTTATAATTTATTTTATTTTTAATAATATTCTTTAAACATCAATAAAATGTTTTCTATCATCAGTGGGTAGGGATGTTTACTGATATTATGGATTGATATTTTGCACTTTTCTAAAGTTCAGCTTCACGTCACTTGGCAGTCCTCTCTTGCACAGCTCCTGCATGATCTAAAAACAAAGATGAACAGAAAGATAAAATTTTCCACACATCATTTACCACCCCAAATCAGAAAAACTTGGCACAGCATAGAAAAATGCAAATAAAAAAGTAAGTAGCGATTTCCAAATGTACTTTGACTTTTTAATGTTCATTGCAGACATTATGACAATTGTCTGGTCAACTTTCATTTGTAAATATACATCCTAAACATTTCAATTGTAAATATACATCCTTTCCTGTCATTCAGACCTGCAACACATTCCAACTAAAAAAGATGGAACAGGAGCAGTTTAGGGCTAGTAGTCAGGTAAAGTAGTTAAATAATGATGTGATATGAAACAGGTGATTGTATTTATGATTTGGTACAAAAGCAGGATCCAAGAAACGTCTAATCCTTTAGGAGCAAAGATGGGCCGAGGATCGCCATTTAGCCAAAAATGCGTGAGAAAATTATTGAAATATTTAAAAGCAATGTTCCTCAAAGAAAGAGAGGAAGACAATTAGATATTTCACCTTCAACAGTGTAGAACATCATTAAAAGGCTCAAGGAATCTGGAAGAATTTCAGTGTTTAAAAGACACTGAGCTGAACAAACATTATCTCCAGTCCCTCAGGCGACACTGCATCAAGAGTCCTCATTCGTCTATAAGCAACATCACCACATGGGCTCAGGACTATTTTGGCAAACCTTTGTCATCCCAACACGTAGTGACAACTACAAATGCCAGTTAAAACTGTACTGTGCCAAAAGGAAGCCCTATGTTAACAGTGTCCAGAAGTGCTTCTCTGGGCTCGGAGGCATCTGGGATGGACCATCACACAGTGGAAACGGAAGCTGAGGTCAGCTCAATCACTATTTCAGGTATTGTTTTGGAGAAATAGACGCTATGTGCTCTGGATGAAAGAAGAAAAGGACCACCCATACTATTACCAGCAACAAGTCCTAAAGACAGGTTCTGTCATGGTATGGGTTTGTGTCAGTGCCCTTGTCAAAGGTTACTTGAACTTCTGTGATGGGACTATTAATTCTGAAAAGAACATAGATTTTGGGGCACATTATGCTGCCTTCTTTTCAGGGATGCCCATGCACATTTCAATTCAAGAGTTCACACTTAGATATTGCTTGATGCTATTAGCAGGTTTGGCATACTGTCCCAGGAGAGAACCCTGAGTCCAGAGATATTTGAGCCCAGGGCTCTCGCATGGTCGATAGATCATGTAAGGGGAGTACGAGATCAGGTGGTTCTCGAGGGCTCCCCGTGGTAAAGGAAGAAGGGGTGGATGGGGGGTTTCTTCGGTAAACTAAGATAAGGCAGTCATTTTTGCTAGGCTACATATAGTGAGTTTGGATTAATCTGATTGGCTAACTAATGATTGTAGATAAGAGACCAGCTGCAGTCAATCATATCACGTGCTCCTCTTGAAATTATTTTGTGAAATTTCACCAAGACAATGCAAGGCACACATTACAAAGTTCTGGCTGTGAAAGGAAAAGTAGACAGGTTCTTGACTAGATTGCAGTCCCGACCAGTCTCCAATAGAAAGTGTATGGCACATTTTGAAGCACAACATGCAACAATGAAGACCCTGTACTGTTGCCCACCTTAAACCTTATTTGCAAGTAGAATGAGACAAAATTACTCCTGAAAGACTTCATCACTTGATGTTTTCACTCCCTAAATGTATTTTTAATGATGTTAAAAAGAATTGGCAACATAAGAGAGGGGTAAACTTTACTGTTCCAACTTTTTTTTTTAAATGTGTTGCAAGAACCAAAATCGGAATGTGTTTATTATAAAAAAAATTAAATACATAAATAAAAAATTACAAGGAACACATTAAATCATGTTTGTTGTACTGTTTGCAATAAAATAAAAGTCAAAGCAAATCCAGAAATCACTATATATATATATATATATATATATATATATATATATATATATATATTTTTTTTTTTTTTTTTTTGCGTTTTCCATACCATCCTAACTTTTTTCTGATTTAGTGTTGTATTAGCAATACATTTGTATAGGTAGTCTTAGTATATATTATAGTGACATACTTGCTGTATAATAATTTCAGCGTTTCCACTCTCTGTGATGTTTAAAACTGATTCGAATCTCGCATGAATTCCAACAACCTTGACTAAAAAAATAAAACACACACAACCCCCCCACACACACTTGATTAGTTTATTTGGAATGAATACTAACTAAAGCAACACAGCATCCAAATTATCATAAAGAGCACATTATGTTTCACAGTACAAGCAATGTGCGAATAAATACAATCATTGAATATCTTTTACCTGGCACCTTTTTATACAAGGTTTGCAGACCGATTGCTAATTGTAGATGTATGTCAAACAGGTGCTTCAGTGATTTCATACTGATCTTGGTAGTTTCTAATAGTCAGGAATAGATGGTTTCTGTTTGGTTGCCATAGGTAAGACTATAGCTTGAGGCTGTACTCACACTAGGTACAGTCGCCTCGAAACAGGCCAAAGCACGCTTGTCCCCCTCCCGTCTCCCCCAACGGCCCACACTCAAACCACAAACGGACCTCGGCACGCTTATGTCATCGCTGCTGCACTGTTCAGTGAGAAGCACTCTCTCACTCAGCAGCACAGTGGAGATTTCTCTAGTTATATCGTGACAGTTGTTTGATGTGCAGTGACATGCAGTCAAATATTTCGCCAAACAGTCCTTAGGGATGCGGGGACACGCATTCAGATATTTCGCCGAACAGATCCGCCACTTTTGGCGCTCATAAACAATCATAAAGCTCTCATGCTGCAGGAATGAGGAGGTCTGCTGAAGCCGCGCAGCTGTCGTACTGTGAGGAGTTCGTCTTTAATAAATTACGGCAGTTTGCGTTCATTGAACAGTTAGAATGATTAATAAATCCATATGAAACAGCCCCTTAAAAGTCACGTCTCGCTTTCAGTTTCGGGCTTTGGCGTGTGTTGCACTCACACACAAGTGTACCGCACCAAAGCCCAAGTGAACTGCGCTCAGGCACACCTCTTACAACCGGGCCAGGGCCGGCCAAGTGAACCGCGCTTGAGCCCGATTCAGCGCACTCACACATCTCAAACTATCCGGGAAACGGGCCTGGGTACGGTACGGATGGCATAGTGTGAGTTGGCCCTGAATAACATCCGTGTTAACTATTTTGCATAAGGTTGGGGAAAATGTGTCAATTCAATGAGAAAGGGTTTATACATTTGCAAGACATGTCTTCTGCTCTGCTGGGATAGTGACAAGGAAAACTGAGTGCATGCTAATTTCTTTAACCAGGTCAAACAATCAAGGAAATCTGTAGTGTGGACTTGACATCAATTCAGAAGTTCATAGTTACCTGGCAGTGTTGTATTCTGAGATGTTGAAGTTACTGAAGATGTTGTATTAGGCGTTGTAGTTGTTGGATTGGTTGATGGTGTCGTAGTTGTTGTTCGATTGGTTGTTGGTGTTGTAGTAGGTGTTGTAATTATTGTTGTAGGTACTGTAGTAGTTATTGTAGTAGGTGTTGTTGTAGTATTTGCTGTTGTAGGTGCTGTAGTAGGTGTTGTAGTATTTGCTGTTGTAGGTGCTGTAGTAGTTATTGTCGTAGGTGTTGTTGTAGTATTTGCTGTTGTAGGTGCTGTAGTAGTTATTACAGTAGGTGTTGTTGTAGTATTTGCTGTTGTAGGTGTTGTAGTAGTAATTGTAGTAGGTGTTGTAGTATTTGCTGTTGTAGGTGCTGTAGTAGTTATTGTAGTAGGTGTTGTTGTAGTATTTGCTGTTGTAGGTGCTGTAGTAGTTATTACAGTAGGTGTTGTTGTAGTATTTGCTGTTGTAGGTGCTGTAGTAGTAATTGTAGTAGGTGTTGTAGTATTTGCTGTTGTAGGTGTTGTAGTAGTAATTGTAGTAGGTGTTGTAGTATTTGCTGTTGTAGGTGTTGTAGTAGTAATTGTAGTAGGTGTTGTAGTATTTGATGTTGTAGGTGCTGTGGTAGTAATTGTAGTAGGTGTAATTGTTATAGGTGCTGTAGTAGTAATTGTAGTAAGTGTTGTAGTATTTGCTGTTGTAGGTGCTGTAGTAGTAATTGTAGTAGGTGTTGTAGTATTTGCTGTTGTAGGTGCTGTAGTAGTAATTGTAGTAGGTGTTGTAATTGTTGTAGGTGATGTTGTAGTAATTGTAGTTGGTGTTGTAGTATTTGCTGTTGTAGGTGTTGTAGTAGTAATTGTAGTAGGTGTTGTAATTATTGTTGTAGGTGCTGTAGTAGTAATTGTAGTTGGTGTTGTTGTAGTATTTGATGTTGTAGGTGCTGTAGTAGTAATTGTAGTAGGTGTTGTTGTAGTATTTTCTGTTGTAGGTGCTGTAGTAGTAATTGTAGTAGGTGTTGTAATTGTTGTAGGTGCTGTAGTAGTAATTGTAGTAGGTGTTGTAGTATTTGCTGTTGTAGGTGCTGTAGTAGTAATTGTAGTAGGTGTTGTAATTGTTGTAGGTGCTGTAGTAGTAATTGTAGTAGGTGTTGTTATAGTATTTGATGTTGTAGTTGCTGTAGTAGTAATTGTAGTAGGTGTTGTAATTGTTGTAGGTGCTGTAGTAGTAATTGTAGTAGGTGTTGTTATAGTATTTGATGTTGTAGTTGCTGTAGTAGTAATTGTAGTAGGTGTTGTAATTGTTGTAGGTGCTGTAGTAGTAATTGTAGTAGGTGTTGTTGTAGTATTTGATGTTGTAGTTGCTGTAGTAGTAATTGTAGCAGGTGTTGTAATTATTGTTGTGGGTGTTCTAGTAATAATTGTAGTAGGTGTTGTTGTAGTATTTGCTGTTGTAGGTGCTGTAGTAGTAATTATAGTAGGTGCTGTTGTAGTATTTGCTGTTGTAGGTGCTGTAGTAGTAATTGTAGTAGGAGTTGTAGTATTTGATGTTGTAGGTGCTGTAGAAGTTATTGCAGTAGGTGTTGTTGTAGTATTTGCCGTAGTAGTAATTGTAGTAGGTGTTGTTGCAGTATTTGCTGTGGTAGGTGTTGCAGTAGTTGTAGTTTCTGTTAAAGAAAACAAACCCTGAATTGTAAATCAAATTTTGCAAAGTACATAAACTCTGCTAAAAACAATCCACCACATGCCTTCTTTTTTTAAAAGTTATATTTATTGGGTTTTTTTCAACATTAAAACAAGACATCTAAACATTACAATAAAATGGAATGATTCCAGGATAACATACAAAACATAATCCGATTCCTGTATTAAACCTGTAGCTTGCACTGATCGAAAAACGTCCTATGCCTCAGTAACAGATTTAAAACTGTGGTGCCGATTGGCATGTGTGACACTATATGCCTTCTGACTGGCATCTCTCTTTTTTTCAAGTAAAAGGCATTATAGGGCATATTATAATTGTGAAAATGTTCACCTTCTTGTGTTAATGTGAAGTACTATTGGCACTCACATATTTTATACATACAGTTGAACTCAGAATTATTAGCCCCCTTTGGAATCATTTTTTCCTTTTTAAATGTTTCCCAAAATATGTTTAACAGAGCAAGGAAATTTTCACAGTATGTCGAATAATATTTTTTCTCCTGGAGAAAGTCATATTTATTTTATTTTGGCTAAAATAAAAGCATTTTTAATTATAATAAAAAAAATGTAATGGTCAAAACTATTAGCCTCTGCGCTTTATGTTTTTTCGATAGTCTACAGAACAAACCATCATTATACCTTGCCTAATTAACTTAATCTGCCTAGTTAAACTAATTAATCTAGTTAAGCCTTTAAATGTAACTTTAAGCTGTATAGAAGTGTCTTGAAAAATATCTATTAAATTATTATTTATCACGGCAAAGATAAAATAAATTAGTTATTAGAAATGAGTTATTAAAACTATTATGATTAGAAATGTTGAAAAAAATCTTCACCCTGTTAAACAGAAATTTGGGATTATATGTATAGATTATAGGTGGGCATATATATATTTTTTTATCTAGATTAATCTCACTGTAATCTTGGAATTAATCTAGATTAAAATGGCTCATCTGAATTCTGCCAGAGGCATTCAGAATATGTGTGTTACCCAAATAATGACTAAAAGTAAGTTTTTGAGAATGGGTTTCTCAAGCCAGGTAATGCATTAGACCAGGGGTTCATCTCCTGTTTCCAAAATTCATCACAAACTGCATGAGAAACTAATCTACTATGATAATTGGTGATGAAAATAAATGATGTACTTGTGTTTACTAACTGTTTATTCAGTTTAACATGAATTTTGAACTGTAGGCCTAAACATTTTGTATGCGTTATTAAATTCCATAACACTCTTACCAGTTCTTACTCCTTATTTGCGTCTAATACCCCAGTTTGTCACGGGGGCATGAATGAAATGTTCATATGTGAAGGTGAAACTGCCAAACTGAGTTAAAAACACTCAAAACTACAGGAAACTTCTACATGCACATACACACCTTAATTATTGCTTTGACGATGATTATGGCCCACCACTATTATATATATACAGTTGAAGTCAGAATTATTAGCCCCCCTAACTTATTAGCGCCCTTGTTTATTTTTTTCCCAAATTACTGTTTGAACATTTCCTTGCTCTGTTAAACATCATTTGGGAAATTAAAAAAAAAAAGAAAAAAAAAATCAAAAGGGGGGCTAATAATTTATTATTTATTTATACAACAGTTCTGTCTGGTTCTCAAATCTGATTGGCTGATAGCCGTGAGATATTCTGCAATATCAGAACTCCTACAGCCTCTTTACCCTTTGTGTATTTCTCCGCCCACATACAGCCAGCAAAAAGAAGACACTACAGATCTAAAGTTTAAAAGATGCACGCTCAGCTGTTTAACTGTCAGCTTATGATTTGAATCCAGAAGAAAATAGTTCCTCATACAAAATGGTTTTTGAGACTCTCCATGTTTGATTTTGTTTTTATATACACAATTATGCCGTCAAACTGTTGCATAAACATAATATCACACTCGTAGCAGTACGATATGGATGTATATCAGCACTGGTGGGGGCATTAAGGCACTCGGCCGACGGCCTCGTGCCAACGCACGCCTCCCACCAGTGTCGATATACAGCTATATCGCACTGCTACTCATATAATATTGCTCATATATATAGCCACACCTGTCTATATGTTTATATAAGACTTTACAGCTCACGATGCATGTTAGAGCAAATGAGAATAATGACGTCAAAAGAACTGAAGAGCTCAGAGACTGAATTGCGGCAAGGCACAGATCTGGCCGTGGTTACAAAAACATTTATGCGGCACTTAGTGTCTTAAGAGCACAGTAGCCTCCATAATCCTTAAATGGAAGATGTTTTGGATGACTGAAGCCCTGGAGCTATTGAGGGAGAAGAGCCTTGGTGAGAGAGGTAAAGAAGAACCCAAAGATCACTGTTTGTGTCCACCTCCCAAACATTTAAACAAACATGCTGCAAGTTGAGAAAACACATATAGATGAACGATAACTGAGAAAAGGTCATCAATATGTGTTCAGTATGTGTTTCTGTGTTTGCATGTGTTTTGTCAAATTAATGTTTTTCTTTGTTTTTCTATATGCATGTGTTTTCTTAACTTGCAGCATGTTTGACCTCTCTCAGCCACCATACTAAAGGGAAACACATATACTGTAGACCAGGGGTCACCAATCTCAGTCCTGGAGGGCCTGTGTCCCTGCGGGGTTTAGCTCCAACTTGCCTCAACACACCTGCCTAGATGTTTCAAGTATACCTATTAATACATTGATTAGCTTGTTCAGGTGTGTTTGATTAGGGCTGGAGCTAAAATCTGCAGGACACCGGCCCTCCAGGAATACGTTTGGTGACCCCTGTTGTAGACTAACAATACACACAGAATATGTTTAATTATCTTCAAAATGTGTACATTTATGCTGGTTTCTAGTATGATCAAACAAATGTAGCTTTGCAATGAAAATTAACATAATAGTTGCATTTTTCTATAATAATAAAACAGACCGTAACCTGTTAGCGGTACTCATACCTGTCTGAGGTCCACCGTCCACCCTGAAGACCCATCGGCCTGGAACATTGACATTACTAGAGGTGTTGAGGTTGGAGACAGAGCTCCCATTGTTTGATCCAGGAATCACAAAGTAGTTTGTGGAGTTTATTGTGTCAAAACCAGCCTGAAAGTTAATAAAATAATATTCATGTAAATGGTTGCACAAACTTTTATACTGTAACATTTGGTTCTCATTACAGACAACACTTTTTTTTTTACCTCCACTGTACGTCCTGTTGCAGCAATATCTCCATAATTCATCAGAAGAAATGAATAATTACTGCCTGAGATTAAAACCACTTGAAAAGATGTTTCCTAAAATAATGATAAAAGAATAAATAAATAAATAAGTTAGAAGACAGTTGCTAAAGTGTTCATTATGTATGAGCTCAAATTACTGTATTAATTAATTTAAAAAGACTTGTTACTCTGTCTTAAAGTATTTTTTGAATTGAATCATGCATAAAGTAAAAACATAAACATTTCAGAAGTGTGTTGATCTTACTGCTGTAGAGAGATGGTACGGTACTTTATCCCACGTTGCAACAAAAACCCAAGATGCAGTGAAGGGCAGATTTGGGAAATAATTGTTGATATCCTGAGTGGCGCGAGTGAGAACACTTCCATTAGTGTATTGATTATAAGAGATGACTCCACTTGCTCCGTTATTAAGGTCAGCCCAGAATCCAGCAATAATATCCCTACTTCCATTAGCTGGAAATGAGTAGGGAACATATTGTGGTAAAGCCTGGCTGAATGTAAGGTCTCCATTATTATTAACCTGAAACATCACAAATACTGTCAAAATCACAACCAGGGAATTTTTTCCTAATCAGAATGGAATTCATGAAGCATCTAAAACCCACATGCACACCATAAGAGTAAAAAAAATCTAATTCTTACATAAATCTGCTGGTATGTTTGTCCAAAAAACAAAAAGGGAATTAGTGTAATAACAGAAGAGCCTCCATCATCAATAGCAGGGTTTATTGCGTCTCCTGCTGAGGAACCGAATGGGTAGAAGATTTGTGGTGCTGCTAGAAAAAAAGAAAGAGAAAATTCTAAGAATAAAAATGAAGCGGGACCATGGTGAACCTCTGCTGGTGAACTCATACTGAAGTGACAGTAATGCTTGGGACATTACTGACAAAACTGCATCATTTATTAACAACTTGTCCATACAGATTTACAGTTTCTGCAATCTTTCTGCCTCCACCTTCCATAAGTTTATGAGACTTATGCCAAGTTCAGACTGCATGATTTTCAAAGTAGTCGTGTCACAGATGTTTTCACACTGCATGACTATCTGGGCTAGTGTTTTGTTGCTGCTTTGTTTACACTGCATGAATCGGCGACAGGGGCTTTCACATTGCATGACTTTACAATAGGAAGAATCGCTGACAACTTCGTCCAAACTACGTCTCACAGCCAAAAACACGTAGTATATCTTTTGTTATTAACTACATAACGAGAAAGAAGCCTTTATAATGGGGTAGAAAATGTACATATTTGCTCACCTGGCCTTTAAAGGGTATTAGCAAATTTTTCTCAATTTTCTTTTTAAACTTTCTGTGTGAAACGTCAAACAGACACGGGTGTTCCTGTCAAACCTCTAACAGTTTTTCCTCCATTTCTTTGGTCCAAATAAACCGAAAATGAGCACTTTAACTTCTCCCTCAGCCTCCCACTGACCTGCAGGTACACACACTCTAGTGGAAGCTGCTCTCTCATTGGCTGTTGGCGATCGCTGCTGTTATTTTCAGTCAAAACTCATTTCACACAGCATAATTAGAATCGCCGACAGCTCCAGATATTTAGCATGCCAAATATCTTACGGGCGTCGGTGACTCATCGGCGATTCTCTCAGTCAGATCGCGTCTTTGATCGTTCATACTGTGTGATTGTCACTCACGTGCACGAGCACGGATTTGCCTGTGATTTCAGGCATTTGTCGGCGATTTCTCAAAACCTGTCAGCGAGTCAAAATCTGGGCTAAAATCATGCAGCCTGAACTCGGCATTATGCTGGGTCAAAAAAAAAAGTTGAGGAGAAAGTGCTAATTTTCTTCGAACCCAGGTGAGCAAATATGTACATTTTCTACCCCATTAAAGGCTTCTTTCTCATTATGTAGTTAATAACAAGAGATATACTATGTGTTTTTGGCTGTGAGAAGTTGTCGGCGATTCTTCCTATTGAAAAGTCATGCAATGTGAAAGCCCCTGTCGCCAATCCATCTTGCAGTGTAAACAAAGCAGCGACGAAACGGTAGCCCAGATAGTCATGCAGTGTGAAAACATCTGTGACACGACTACTTTGAAAATCATGCAGTCTGAACTCCGCATTAGTAAAACTAAAAGAAAACTAGCTGAAAACTTAAACCAGTCATCTCAATAGCAGAAATGATCTTTCATGCCCTTTGAAAGATGGAGAGAAGGCAGCAGAAAAGAAAAGGGGCACATGAAAGAATTCATATTAGGAAGAAAAAGAGCATGTTGCATAATGTCCCATCTTTCCAGGACTTTGAGTGCAGATCAGTTGTTCATCTGTAAACAGGCATATGGTTGTTTGTTTGTTGTTTTTTTCTCAGTCTGCACTAATATCTGTCAGAAGTAATATATGGAATAGCACCCCAACTATCTTCCCATGGATTACTACATGTTGATATTATTAATTATATATGTTATGTGAGTATTTTAGCAGACAAGATATCCGCTTGTTAAGTGGTGACGTGTTTGTGACGTATGTATACTGTTTCCGGGTCCAAGCCGCCATTCATTTGAGTGGAGAATCATTCGTTTATGATCACGTTTTATTCATATCACACATTAAAGTAAATTTTATATAAATCATAATGTACACAACAATCTCTGGGCTTGCTGCATAACAAATACCAAAAATTTAACAATTTATAAAAAAATTAATCACTTTCTGGCCATCGGATATTAGGCATGGACATATATACTGCGATCGTGATTTTCGAAAGCATTAAATCGCTTTGTAAATGTTTATTGTTACCATTTCATGAGTCTCCCCATTCAGTTGAATAGAAAAGCCGGTTCGCGTGACGTCACACTTAACAAGCGGATTCACATCAAAGACTTTGGAAGGGGAAAACTGGAATACAAACAAGAATTTGTCCAAACATAAGTTTAGGGTTTATATAGTAACTATACTAACTAGGGTATATATAGTAACTATACTAACTAGGGTATATATAGTAACTATACTATGAATCTCATCTATTTTTTTTATTTTTTATTTATGAGGTTTAAAACTTTTTAGTCTTTCTATTAATTTTATGTAGACTTACTTTTTGATTATTTGTTGAAAATGTTAATAAAAAAAATTATAGAATACTCTAATTTCTATAAACCTTTATTTAGATATTGAAATGTGAAATAATGAATGTTTGTTCTAGCTGAGTTACTAGTCACCACCACTGATTTCTCGGTCAAGATTTACCTGCCAGTGTTGTTGCTACAGATGTTGATGGTGTAGATGTTTGTGTTCTGGCTGTTAAAGAGAGTGTGATCATTAAATCCAGAAAGACATGTATTTTTATTCATACATGTATTTGATTTAGCAAAACCTTACTGAGAGAAAACACTGATATGAACACCAGCGGATGAGGTAAAACCAGAAACAATCTCATGATGATCATGATGATGATTTGTTCTGTAAGCAGACAGAGATATTAATGTGGAGACTAGACATCCCACACATCCGGCTAGACATCACATTTTTACATTTTTAATCCTCAGGCAGATGATTTAGTGCTGTCAAGACTGCTCGCTATTTGAACAGCACCTACTGTAGCCTTTGATGTTTTACACTCTACTGCAGGGGTGGCCAATCCTGTTCCTGGAGATCTACCTTCCTGCAGATTTCAGTTGCTACCCATATCAAACACACCTGTCTGTAATTATCAAGTGGATTTCAGGTCCTAATTAATTGGTTCAGGTGGGTTTGATCAGGGTAGGAGCTAAACTGTACAGGATGGTAGATCTCCAGGAACAGGATTAAGCACCCCTGATCTACTGAATCTAATGTAAATAAAAATGTTAATCTTTTATTAAAATATTCTCATTATCAACCTTTCAAAACTATACATTTGAACTTAATTTGCACCACAATGTAAAGTAATATAGTCTTTTAAAGAACGTTTTCATGCCATTAGTCAAGTCATACAACATACACTGTGATAACCACGCTTTGAAACAACAAATGCAATTCATTTATTGATTGATTGATTAATTTTCTTTTTAGCTTAGTCCCTTTATTAATCAGAGGTTGCCACAGAGGAATGAACCGTCAACTTTTCCAGCATATGTTTTACGCAGCGGATGCTCTGCCAGCTGCAACCCATCACTGGTTAACATTCATACACACTTATTCACACACTATGGCCAATTTAGCTTACCCAATTCATCAGTACCACAAGTCTTTTAGATACCGGAGCACCTGGAGAAATCCGACGTGAACACAGGGAGAGCATGCAAACTCCACAAATAAATAAATAAATAAATAAATAAATAAATAAATAAATAAATAAATAAATAAATAAATAAATAAATAAATAAAAATTCCTGCACACTTTCCAAAAATATCAAGATTACTATATTAACGATGTTTCAGTTGCACGTTCACTGAATTCTTGAGAAAATGATTCTTAGAAATGATAATAAATTTTGAATCACCATATTAAAATGATTTCTGGAGAAAAGTCTGTTATCTCAGTAGACAGTAGTCCCTAACATAAGTAAAGCATACAATCGAGAATGAAATATCAAGCTGATGAATACAGAAAAAGCTTTTACTTACCACAGACTTGATACTGTCAGTTATGAGGAAGTTTCAGGGGTTTTAAAGTGTCACTGTTCTGCAAGTAGGTAGGTGGGGGAAACACCTCCAGGTAGGATTGTTTTGATATTTATTTGTCATCCAACATTTAGATTTTATATACAGTACTGAAGATAACTAACATCAAAGGTGCAAAATTGGTTTAAAACATACTTTAGAAATACTTAGTGAGCTTCTGGTTTCAAATTAAGTGTATGTTTTAAGGCAGCTTGCCTTTTTATATACAATGTTGACTGAAGGAAATCCCTATAAATGCATGTGCACACTAAGACATACATAGAAGGTACATTAGATCAAATAAGATATCAGCCTAATATTTCAACTAGTTGACAGTTTTTTTCCCTCTTCTGCTTGATTTGTTATACTGTAACATCAGTCAGTCTATACTACTCTTATGTGGTTGTATATTTTTCCAGTCTGACTAATTAAAACAGGCCAGCACATTACCATAACTGATCCTATTCAGCAGCAATAATCACCATACATGCCAGTTTTATTCGGGTTAGTGTCATTGTTTATGTACTTCTCTCCAATGAAGACATGCCATGAAAACATTTTATTGCAAAATGAACATGAACTATTTTAAGGTCTTTAAACAATTAAACGGCTTGAAACGGTTCAGACTGACTATAGTAGTGTAACTTTCATGCTAAAATAAATGGTTTAAAGTACTTAAAACTAATTACTAAATATTTGAACTGATGAACTTAAAAAAATACAAAAAATAAAATACACACACACAGATTATTTATTTATTTATTTATTTTATTTACTTGATGTTTAACAGAGCAAAGAAATTTTCACAGATTGTATGATAATATTTTTACTTCTGGAGAAAGTCTTATTTGTTTTATTTTGGCTAGAATAAAAGCAGTTTTAAATTTTTAATTTAATTTAATTTAATTTAATTTTTTTAACGTTTTAGGAACAAAATTATTTGCCCCTTTAAGCAATATCTTTTTTTCCTTGTCCACAGAACAAACCCACGTTATACAATAACTTGTCTAATTACCCTAACCTGCCTAATTAACCTAGTTAAGCTTTTAAATGTCAATTTAAGCTGTATAGAAGTGTCTTAAAAATATCTAGTCATATATTATGTACTATAATCATGGCAAAGATAAAATAAAACAGTTAAAAAAGGAAAAAAAAAAATGAACTACACTGTTCCAGTTAC